AACAGGTTAAATTGTGGAGGCGAAGCTATGACATCACGCCGCCCCCCATTGATGAGTCACATCCCTATTACGCTGAAATTTACAATGACCGCCGATACAGTACGTGTGACGTTCCGAAAGAGGAACTGCCCAAAACGGAAAGTCTAAAGGAAGTGTTGGACAGACTTCTTCCTTATTGGAATGATGTCATTGTACCGGTGATCAAGAGTGGCAAAACGGTCCTCATCTCTGCACATGGCAACAGCTGCAGGGCTTTGCTTAAACATTTGGAAGGTGAAACATATTTGTTTTTAAATTCTGTCATCATTTACTCATCATCTTGTCATTTGCTGGCTTTTTCCTTCTGTGGAATGATTTATTTTGCTGTTGTTTTATTTTTTGGTCCATACAATAAAAGTCCATTTGGTTTAGTGTTGTTTGAACCCCACTGACTTTCATTTTATGAACAAAAACAGTCGAAACATTCTTCAAAAATCTTCTTTTAAAATATCTTCTCAAACTAAGTTATATAATGCTTCTAAAGGCTGCGGAGTTAAAATTACAAGCATACTATTGACTATAACCCTTGACCTTAAAGCACTTGGAAGGTTATCACAAGGGGTCAAAAGTGACAGTTAAGACATGTATAATGTTGCATAAGTTTGCTATTTTAAGATTACTGCTGTTCTTTATGGACTTTCTATTCCTCAACAAGTTTCCACATGCATGTATCAAGCAGCACAACTGTTTTCAACATTCATAATTGTAAGGAATGTTTCTTAAGCAACAAATCGGCATTTTAGAATGATTGCTAAAGGATCATGTGACACTGAAGAATGGAGTATGATGCTGAAAATTTAGCTTTGCATCACAGGAACAAGTTCCATTTTAAATATATATTAAAATAGTAAACAGTTATTTTAAATTGTAATATTTCTCTTTAAATATGATCAGTAACGAAGCATAGAGAGTGGATAGTAATACTAATGAAGTTGGTATTAAAACATAAACCTTAAATATTTTAATATTCTATTTACACTTTTGCTGTCTTTCTCAACAGATATATCAGAAACGGACATTGTGAATGTAACGCTGCCCACTGGAGTACCAGTCTTGCTGGAGCTTGATGAAGATCTTCGACCGGTCAAGCCCCGTCAGCTTCTGGGCGACCAGGCCAAAATTCAGGCAGCCATCAAAAAGGTGGAGGATCAAGGGAAGGCTAATGCACAAAATAAATAAGGATTTTATTGGTGAAGATGCCAGAATCATTCAGATAGGAACTGTTCAAACAGAAAGATTATTAGTCAGTCATGAAGCACCTGGTAAAGATAGTTTGGTCACATACTGTAGGGTGTGTCTGAGGTAGACTGGTTTAGTGGTATTTTAGGAATCATGAAGAGTTATACAAGTCAATATTTTGAATTCAAGCACTGGTTACTGATCCAAAATGCACACTTGGTACATATATTTTGTCATAGCAAGAGGTCTGTATACCAAATAATAATGAAATAGATGTTGATGTAATATTATTTAAAATGATCATTTAATAATGTGTTGTTATTTTTTGTTAGCTCTTGCTTAGTTTTCCAATGGATTTGTGGCCACAGAAAACCAGTGGTGCCTTCCTTTGGGCAAAAAATTGGATCCATCAGTTGTGTTCTAATAGAATTTCGTATTAAAGGTCAACATATGCTTTTAACCATTTCTGTATTTAAAAACTACCAAACAAGAGTTTAGGGTCAGTAAAAAGTCACTTAAGCTCACCAAGGCTGCATTTATTTGATCAAAAATACAGTAATAATCTTTTAATATATTTTAAACTGTAATTTCATTGTCAGATGATTCCGAAATCATTCTAATAATCTGATTTGTTATTTAAGGAACATTTATTATCAATGTTGAAAGCAGTTGTACTGCTTAACATTTTTGTGAAAACCATGATGCATTTTTTTCTTTGATGAATAGAATGTTTAAAAGAACAGCATTTATTTGAAGTAGAGTTTTTGTAACAATGTAAAAGTCTTTACTGTCACTTTTGATCAATTTAATGCAGTCTTGCTGGGAAAAAAAGTAATTTCTTTAAAAAAATAAAAATCCTACTGACCTTGAACTTCTGAACTGTAGTGTATATAGATAAACCCAACTGGAATGGAATCATTCCAAAAATAAATAAATAATAGTAAAAACAAGCATATTATTCACTCCACTGTCTGGACTTCCAAGCCACAGATTAAATCTAATCTTGTTGAATTCATATTTATATTCCACAAATCAGGTTTATTAAGCTTACTATTTAAAATTCAAATTAGAGACTTCATTGGATGTCTGAAGGATAATTATAAATTATTAAAAATATTGTGTGTTAAATAGCACTGTTAGCTTACTTTAGACAGTATTTTAAAACATTCTTTTAAAGGGACATTTTGTTTTTATCTAAAATATTTATTAACAGAGATAATATGTGTTAAGACTAAGTTATGAGTTTATCATGCACTGCCAAACGCGACCCACACTAGCTCTTTTGTATCTCATTCTTTTCTCCACCAACGTTTACCAACTCAAATGCAAAGACAAACCAGTCTTACTGGTGAGTAAAATCTAGACATAGTTGTGGTTTAGAGTGTCTGTGCACTGTAATACCTCTGTTTGTTTTTGTGTATTTAATGTTGCTGAACACTGTACTGTATCTGTAGAGAAATGTTATGTGTGTGTTATTTTTGTTATAATGGCCATAGTGGCTTTCACTGTTACATGTCTACATGTTTGACCCCTGTTATGGCACATTATAACTCACCTAATGTGGTTTTACTTTCTTTTCCACCACCCAGAAGCACTGGTCTGCTGGGTTTAGCACATCCCTGAAGCATTTTCCTGAGAGAATAATACATAAAAATAAAGATTACAGATATAAAAGTGTTAATGTGTATTAAATGATGTGTGTGAAAAAGTATAAAACACCTATTAACCAGGAGGAGGTGCTACAGTGTTATCTGAGAAGACATTTCTCCAGTGGAACAGATGTTGATCTTAATATAATAGCGGTGGATGGTAAGTTTATTTTTACAGAAAGCACTAATGACATAGGGAAACTGATTTTGGTTATTCAGTAGGATGTAGCACTTGGCAGACTACATATTCACTAAACCTAATAGCTCACATTTGTTTTGCTGAGCTGGAATGTTTGAAAAGAAGCACTAAAACATGTTCTCATGGTCTTTAATGTCCTCTCAGAAGAATATACATTTTAACACATTATATGCTCTTGGGAAAACGTGCCACATCCATCTCCCTCAAAGCTTATTAAAAAATAATGTGATTTTCATTGAGTTTATTTGCTGATGCTATGAAGACGTGACTGGACAGGCTGTTTCTGATTACACTTGATATTTTTCATGGACTGTGTTCTGAAACATGGATTTCACAGTCCTAACTTTAAAACATGGTCTCGAAACAGTAGAAAAACATCACGGGAATCTGACTGTAGAAACTCTGCCAAGGGTCCAATTTGAGAACTGTTCAGTTTGGCTGAAGACCAGAAAGGCCTGGACACAATGTAGCCTCGTCTTCACTGCCAATCTGACACCGGTTTCTTTTAAAATGGTTATGGTTAGGACGTTAGCATGCCAATAGTTCAGGGACATTACTGCAACATCTATTATTTTCTTGATGTGGCTGTAAACTAGCCTAATCGACGTTCACTATTGCTCAACCAGGACAAACTTACACAATAACTTTACACCATGCAAGCACATTTACAAAGCTCCAAAATATCAAAGTTACTACAGTTATTGTTAATGTTAACTAATGAAAACATTGCAATTAAAAAGTTATACAATTTTTGTGATTTCTACACCATGCAAGCACATTTACAAAGCTGCAAAATACCATTTCAAACCAAAATATCAAAGTTACTACAGTTATTGTTAATGTTAACTAATGAAAACATTGCAATTAAAAAGTTATACAATTTTTGTGATTTTATTATAATAACATTTTAATTATATTATTTTTATTTAATTAGAATTGTAGGATAGGTGCAGACACATTAAAAAAATTCACAGGCATAAGCAATATATTAAGTACAACTTGCACAGACACTTTCAAGTTAAACAGCTTTTTTTTTTTTTTTAATGCGCAGTTGCATGGATTCCTATAGAAATGACTGGGTTTTGTCCATGAAAATTTTACCAAACAACAGTAAAATGTGATCACAAAATAACTATTGGGAGTATGGCAGAAGCTTTTTACCATGGCAATATTTTATGACAGTGTAACTAATAGTAGTTAAATGTGAAAAAAATGTATGATAAAATTAAATACACATTTACAACAAAAATAAACTAAAAAGCAGACAATTTGTTGCAGTCTAGTTAACAAAAATCACAAAAGTATTATTTTATTTTTTTTACAATAAGCTGCATGGAGCTGCAAAAACAACAAAGCAATTAGACTTATAAAAGTACACTGACCCAAAACAAAACAATTAGACTGACCCAAAAACAAAACAAGCAAAAACAAATAAAACAAAAAATTACACTGACCCAAAACAAAAACAAACAAAACAATTAGCCTACACTGACCCAAAACAAACAAAATAATCACTGACCCAAAACAAAACAAACAAAAGTAAACAAATTAACACTGACCCAAAATAGCCTACAACAAAACAAACTTAAATCAGTCTAAAGCGGTTGTAGAGACTAGCAAACCATCTTGTTTTCTTTGTCCTCAGTAGGGTCAGTGTAACTTTATTGTAATTTGAATTTTTTTGAGCTTGCTGATTTTAAAAACTTGTTGGTTTAATACAAGATGTTATTTTTTAACTAAGCTGCGAAGCTGCTCTGTTGGGGGCGATATCAGATAGGAGTGTGACATTGATCTATTAGGCTACTTATAGATGGAGGAAAGCGCTGGAAGACTGCTGCCAAATGCGTTGAAGTGATGGAGCTCGGCAGAGGCGGAGTCTGAACCGCTGCACATTTTATAAAATGTAGAGGCACGACTCATGTAATTCCTGCATTGCCCTTTCAGCAGCACGATCACACTTCAAAACTAAATTGGACAGCGCGCTGAAACCCGCTCCAGCTCGTTACAGGTAAGGGTTACAAGTCCTTCAAATTAACCTTTGAAAATCTTTCTTAATTGAAATAGACATGCTTTTATTTAAAATTATTCTTGTTCACAAATTCATCGTGTAAAGACATGCTGCTGATGGCAACATAATTTACTGAAATTAAAATGTTGGCAGCGCAAGACTCTTGCGGTGGACAAATGAATTGCATGTTGAAAATGCTGTTTTCACCTGCCACTTGGTCATCTTATTTTACAAACCTGCTCCGCGGGAAACCCATCAGCGCGAACATGAGGCTCGGTGACGGTGGGGCGCGATGACGTCACAGCGGCGACTTTAAAGCGATGATAAAAACATGAAAATGCTGTTTTCACCTGCCACTTGGTCCCTTGTCAAGAACATCTGTATACTTCCTTTGCTTTTAAATTACCGTCCAAGTTAATTCGAGGGTTTCCCACAAATACACTAACTACTAATTGTTTTTAGAATGAGCTCATGCGGCCTTTGGATCTTTACAATGAGTTTCAGTGCACATGTAACGGCCAGCAGTACACCTGCATAACTACTTCAAAATAGTTCCTGCTCACTGCATACAATTATAAAACACACTTTCGAAATAAAGCAAGTCACATGTTGAGGCTAATTCTACTAACATAATATGAATTTTCTACTTTCTATTTTTACCATACATCTATAAATATATATGAAACCACTCTGACTATGCACTCCTCCTCACAGATTCATTAAGAACCAGTGAACGTTCATCAATGATAGTTATATTATTATTATAGATTTTAGACAAAAATATTTTTTATAAAAACATGTTTTATTATTATACATTATACAAATTATTATACATTTTGATCAAAAAAATGTCATTAATCATCACATAACATCACATTTTTCA